CCCCCCCCCCAAGTCTAGCTATTGCAGCCCAGGTCCATTTCAAACTCTTGAACCTCCTGCCTCAGCCTCCCTAGTGTCTGGGAGTTCAGGAGCACATGGCTGAGTCCAGCCTGCCAGCTGGGCTTCCACCTTGTCCTTGCCTCTGAACCCAGAAATTTGAGAGGCAAGAAGGTTGCCAGAAAGAGCTTTGTCTCCTGGCGTCCCCCCTCCTTTTAATCTTGGTGCAGGTGATCTGAAAGTTAAGGTGGCATGATAGCTAGTGTTGATCTGATGAGTGCCGGCAGGGCACATCTGGTGGGCTGCCTGTGCCCGGAGGGGCTTACTTGGGCCTACCAGGTCTTCCTCCCAAACACTCCATCCTCCACACTCTTTGCCTTCTGTCCTCCTACTAGCTCTGGGCTCTGTATGACAGTCTCTCCTCTAGGAGGTGGCATGTTCTGGTGGACATGTAGGAACACCCACAGTGAGTATTAAGTCAGCCGGTTAAACAGAGGGCTGGGGTGCCCCTTAAGCACCCCATATTTCATCTTCCTGCTAGTTGCTGAGGTAGGACCAAACGATGCCAATCCATGTCAGCTTTTGTACATATGAGAGGGTTAATTTGATGAGTGGGCAAACGTCGCTTTAGTGTATTTCTGAGCTAGTGCTAACTAGAAGCGCGGCCTGAGTAGGTCGCCCCTCTAGTTCTGCTCCTGTTTGATGCTAAAGTTCTTTCCAACTTCTGTGCTCTGAGTATTTGCGAGCGATTTCATTCATTGGAAAAAATACTTATTGCCCGCTTAGTGCCTGGCACCCTATTAGGAGTGGGGGACACAGCAGTGACACAAACTAGATAGATGATAGTCCTGTGATTACGGAGTTTCCATTGCAGTGGTGGGAAGGCAGTGGTCATATATTTAATTTATATTAAATAATATAAATGGTACTCAGTGTTACGGAGAGAAATAAGGCAGAGGGGGAGGTACGGGGTGCCAGTGGGAAGGTGATGCAGTTTTCATGTATGATCAGGGAAGGCCTTACTGGAAAATTGATCTCTGAGCAAGGAGAAGATGAGAGAATGAACTATAGGGACATTTGGGTGAAGAACAATCATAAAGCCCCAGAGGCCACAGTGACCCGGGCCAAAGTAGTAGGAATGAAGGCAGAGAACAGTGGGGTCAGAGCAAGCCAGTTGCCAAGGTGGGCCTTCTTTGTCAAGATAGGGGTTTATCTACTGGTCTGTCTCAGGAAGTCAGCGGATGCCTTTCCTTCTAGACTCTGCCATCTGGTCTCTGTGATAGGCTATCTGGGTGGGAACCAGGGAGCTGCAGAACTAGGTATGCCCATGGCTCAAATTTCTGCTGGCTGGGGCTTTTGTTCATTACCTCTATGATGGCTCACCTGAGTTCCGCTCATGTGCAAGTTTAGCTGCATTTTCTGGAATGTTATCAACCCTCTACATCTTCCCTCCCCTCACCTCTGTTTCTCTCTCCACACTTCCTTCACCATGACCCTTCACCACTTTTGTCTCTGTTTCCATAATATCTTTTTCCCCATAGGATGTGTGTACTCACTGAAGAGAGATAGAGAGACAAAGAGACAAAATCACCCCCCGGGAGGATGGCCATGCCACAATCCTTTCTACTCCATTCTCCTCTTTGGGTTTTGGGCATGCACATACATGTCCCTGGTGTGATTTTCAAACCACTGGATTTGGTACTTGAACCGCAGTTAGCCATGTGAGAGTCCAGCACCTCAATTACTCTGCCACCTCCTGGCCCATCATGATTTTTTTTCCCTTTAAGTTAATTTATTTCTTCTATGAGAGAGAGAATCTCCAACTGGGTCTTTTTTTTTTCTTTTTTGAACAGGGAGCAGCTTAGGTCTTCGCAGCATCTTCTTTGCTATAGGGAGTGTGCGCTCGCCAGAAAGACAGAAAGCAAGAAATCACCCCCCAGGAGGGGATGGCCACGTCGCAATCCCTTTTTCTCCATTCTCCTCTTGGAACCTTAGGCATGCACACACATGTGCCGGCATGAGTTTAAGCCACCAGGTCCGGGACTCGAACTGTGGTGGACTATATGGGAGTTGAGTAACAATTCGCTATTTGCTGGTCCCATTTGCAGTATTTTTTTCTTCTCTTTCTTTCTTTCTTCTTTCTTTTTCTCGCTTTTCTTTCTTTCTTTTTTCTTTTTTTGAGAGGTTTTTGCTATAGAGCGCGTGCGATCACCAGACATAGATATAGCAAATGAGAAATCACCCCCCAGGGGGGATGGCCACACCGCAATCCCTTTTCCTCCATTCTCCTCTTGGGATCTTGGGCACGCATGCACATGCGCCTGGTGTGAGTTTTAAGTCACCGGGTCCTGGATGCGAACCGCAGTCGACTACATGGGAGTCCAGCAACATAGCCATTACGCTAACTGCTGGTCCCTCGCTTTTCTTTTTTTAAGCTTATTTATTCTATGAGTGAAAGAGAGAGAGAGAGCATTCTCACAGAGTCCCAACGCTGGGATCCACTCCTAGCTCCAGCCACCCCTTAATCATAGATATGTATATACCCGACATACTCAAAGAGGTCTCTGGATGTGAACCCAGAACCTTCCCATGTGGGTCAGCCTCACACAGTATCTTGGTTATTGCCACATCAGTGTCTGGTCCCCCATGATTTCTCCTGCGATGGTCATTTGGGATTTTCCCCCACCCTGGCTGTTTGGTGACTTGAGAATTTCACACTCTCACTTCCTAGCCTGTTACCAAGTGATGATTATGAGGACAGTCAGAAGAGTGCTGGGTGGGGTCCATTTATGACTGTCTGAAATAGTGCAGTGATTACAGACAGCGTGAGGCTGAAGGGACCATCAGTGACATGGGCCGTGCTTGGGCAGGAGGCAGCCCTGAGTGTGGGCAGTGGAGCTGAAAGGGGTAGTTTTGCTGCTCTTAGGAGTTCCTCCGTGGCTTCAGTCATTCATTTAGCAAACTGGTCGAATGCTTGGCCCATGAGGGCACAGCAAGGGGCATGGAGGAGGTACAAGGTCTTTGGAACCAGTGCTAGATGGAATGGGAACAACAGAGAAACCCACTGTACCACTGGTCAATAGCCTTTTACCTCCAGTTCCAAAATCCAGAATTTCAAAGTTGGAAAATGTGTTTGGTAATTTGTTTGGTAGCAAGACCCAGCCTTACCTGATGTGAACTCATTTGGCAGCAAAACCTGACCTGAGCCAACAGGAGGTTATTTATAATCTTTACTTTTGCCCTTAAGTGTGAGTAGTCATATATTTTCCTGTGTTTTATTCATGGCGGATACCCCAGACCTCACTGGGAGTGCTGTGTAATATATGGTTTATATTCTTTTTTTTTTTGGAGAGGTTTTTGCTATAGGGCGCGTGCACTCACCAGACAGACAGAGAGAGACAGAAAGCAAGAAATCACCCCTCAGGGGGGATGGTCATGCCACAATCCCTTCTCCTCCATTCTCCTCTCGGGATCTTGGGCACGCACGCACATGCGCCCGGTGTGAGTTTTAAGCCACTGGGTCCGGGACGCGAACTGTGGTCGACTACGTGGGAGTCCAGTGACATAGCCATTACGCTACTGGTCCCTATATGGTTTGTATTCTATAGAGTTTTTTTTTTTTTTTAACATAGATTTTTGCTATAGGGTATATGTGCTTGCCAGAGAGACATAGAGACAGAAAGAAATCACCTTCCAGGGGGATGACCATGCCACAATCCCTTCTCCTCCAGTCTCCTCTTGGGATTTTGAGCACACACATGTGTGCCCAGCATGAGTTTCAAGCTGCTGGTTCCAGGACTCGAACTGCAGTCGACCACATGAGTGTCTAGTGCCTAAACCACTATACTACCTGCTGGCCCCTATAATGCTTCTCTAAAATCTTAAAATTTAAGAATTCTGAAACTCACCTGGTTCCAAATATTTCAGGAAAAGAATTAAAGACCCATACTCTAAAAACAGAATCTTGAGAAAAGGAAGAACTCACCTTGATAGGGAAGAAGAGAGAAAAGCAAGGGAAAGACCTATTTATTTCAGAGTCACAGTAATTAATATGAGTGACTAATTAATCCTCATAAGATATAAGGGCCCGATGATGGTGCAACAGTAAAGCAACACTCTGAGGCTGATCCATATGGGAAAGTTCCGAGTTTGGGTCTGGAGGCCTTCTTGAAACACCTGGAGAAGTGTACATGTCCCAGATCCGGAACTGGCTGAGGCTAGGGATAGATAACAACATCGAGAGCCTATCAGGGATACTGTCTCTCTGTCTCCCTCATTCATGGACTAAATATATAAATAAATAAGGACACCAGCAGATGGCATAATGGTTATATTGTTGGACTCTCACGTAGTTGACCATGGCTCGAGTCCCAGACCCAGCAGCTTGAAACTCATGCTGGGCATGTGTGCATGCATGCCCCAAATCCCAAATAAAGAATGGAGAAGAAGGGATTGCAGCATAGTCATCCCCCTAGGGATGATTTCTCACTTTCTGTCTCTCTCAGTCTCTAGCAAGTGCACATGCCCTAAAGCAAAAATCTCTCTAAAAATAAATAAATAGATTAAAAATAAAAATAAAATAAAACTTAAAAAAAAAAAACTTGTTAAAGGACCAGCAGGTGGTGTGGTTAAGGTGCTGGACTCCCGCATGTTCGAACATGGTTCAAGTCCTACATCTACTGGCTTGAAAATCACAGTGGTGCAAATGTGTGTATGCCCAAAATTCCAGGAGGAGTATGGAGAAGGGATTGTAGTGTGGCCATCCTGCCTGGGGGGTGATTTCTCACTTTCCCTCTTACTGTCTTTCTCTATCTCTCTTCACCATTTGCCCTATAGCAAAAACAAATAAAAAACTAAAAATAAAGGAGAAAGTACTTGTTAAGTATACACAAGATGTCTCTTTTATAATATCTTCACAGTTCTTCCAGAAGGGACATTCCGTAGTTGTGAAAACTAAAACCCGGATGGCCTAAGTAATTTGCTCACGATCAGACTGGACTAGACCCCAGGTCTTTCACAACCCAAACCCTCACTTTGCTCTTTCTCCCCAGATAAATTCCACAAATCCAGGGATCTCCAGGCTGTGGCCAAACCCTCTGTGAACTTTAATCTCCGCACATCTAAGGACCAGGAGCATGAAGGATGCTACCTCTCCCTTGACCATAGCCAGTCCTTAGAAGACTGTGGCTTCAACTTGACAGCCAAAACCTTTTTCATCATCCATGGATGGACGGTGAGCCCAGGGAGGGATCTCTGCAGATTTACACATGATTTGGTTCCCTTTGTTTTGGTCAATTAAAAAGAATACTGGTGCTTCCAGATTCCAAACCCTCTCTCTCTGCTTCCTTGTGGTTTGCTTGTATTTTAGACAGCTGTGAAGAATGTAATGGGCACTTCTCTGAGGGGGCAATCTGGACTCCAGCAGGGTGGTATTTAATGCTGGCACACAACAGGCTTTCAGAAAGTGGCTCTCCTGAGGGCAGCAGCCCCGCTCCATTGGCTCTTGAGGACCCCTCTAATTACACTTAATTACGTTGGTCAACCACTGCCTTGAGGGGGCCTTCCTGCATCGGCGCTGAGCTGAGCTGAGCTGAGCTGAAGCAACTTGACTGGCTCAGAGAATCTTGAGGAGCCAGCTGGCTGGGGTTGCTGGCCGCTGTTGGCATGGTGCCCTCCTGTTTGTATAGAGATGGCCCTGTTTAAAGGCATTCGGTTCTTTATGTGCCCTAACTGAGCAAATCACATTGAAAGACCCATGACAAACTTCAACAAAAAAGGGCTTTAATGCTCAGCTTCAGAAGTCTTTGACCAGCAAGGGACTTATTCATTCATATAATGACAGTCTGTAGAAAAAATGGCACTATTAAGTGGACAAGTTTCTGCCTGGGCTAATTGGGAGGGGATATCCTCCTTTTAATGATGAGAAATTCATATCTGTTACATGCTTTCTGAGTCTTTAGGTGTATCACTGCAATTCAGTTCAGGATAAGGGGAGGGTAGGTGCTTATCTGCTGCAAGTGAATGGAGTGATGATTAAGGGCCTAGTCATCCATCCTTATCCTACAGCCTGCAGTCAGAATTGTGCATTTAGACCTTTTAAAGCCCCCCTGTCAAAATGCAAATACAAACTGCCTGCTATTTACAAATGGGTTGCATTCCAGAAAGTTCTTTTGTAATCTATTTGAAACTTGGAACAGCAGTTTCCCATAGAAGCAAGATTGTAAATGGTGTTTGGGTTCCCAGGCTAAGCACAGAAAATCTATTTATTTGATAATGTTCTTGTGGATAGGTTTACAACTGGACCTAGTCACCATTTAGAAGTTTCTGTGGGAAAATGCATTCTGGGTTCAAATTTGGA